GGTGCACCCTATGTCAGCGTGCATCGTGCATCGTGCATGCACGTACCTCACGTTGCACTTCTGCGCCTTCCCAATAGGGGTGCAGGTACCCTGTATTTCATTCCCGTAGGCCAGGCATAAATCGTTGCACCCCTGACTTTAGGAGTTTAGGTGTAAATCAGTGCATGCACGTAGACCATGCTGTATTCCTGTGCCTTCTTGGGAACAAATCAGGATGCATGTATCTACCTTACACTGGATCCCTGTACCTTGGTATAAAACGGGGTGCATGTCGCATGTATGAATCCCAGACTGCATCCGAGGCTTAGCTAAAAATTGTGGTGCACAGAGCACACCTCTCTGGTACAATTCAGAACACAGAGTTTGCTGAGTCTGCTGTTATCGTCCTGACCAATATTGTCTCTGTTTCTTTGTACTCCCTCATCTGTTTCTATTCATCTGTTGACACTGGAAGGGCAGGATTTGTCCTTTCTGGTTGTACAGTGCCTAGCACAGTGGGGTCCCGGTCCCTGACTAGGGTTCAGTGCCATAGTAATACATATAATAAAGGGAGAATGCATGTACTCCACATTGCACTCCTATATAAATCCTTGGTACCACTTCCATGTTACACCTTTGCATCTCATGGGGGTGCATCTACACTGCAGGGCTTAACTAGAAATAAACTATATAAATCGAGCTACATCAATTGCATATCTTATTTCGAAATAGCTTATTTCAAAATAGTGAGTATTTACACAGCACTTATTTCCAAATAGAGCACCCTTCCTCTGACTTCCCTTATTCCTCTGGAGTTGGAGTAAGAAGTCCTCCAGCTTGACAGTATTTTGACACTATTTCAAAACAACTGCCTGTTGTGTAGATGCAGACAACGTTATTTCAGAATAGCTCTAGTTATTTTTGTTGCAGTGTAAACATACCCTCAATAATAAATCAGAGTGTATGGTGCATGCACCAACCCTACACTGCATCTTGCACCTCAGCTACACATTGGGATGCACATGCTTTTATGCTGCATCTCTGTACATCAGCTATAAATGAGGGTGCACACCAAGCATGAACCCACGCTTCATGCCTGCTCCTCAAGATGCATACTCAGTACATGCAATGTGTATGTGCTTTTATTGCTATATGGTGCATGGTCTCTACCTGCATGCTGCCTGTTATGTCTCTTTTCTTATGAGTCTGCATCCCATGGTAACAAAGTTGTGATATGTGTTTTCTGATGTGTACATTGTGGACATCTCCTGTGAGCATATGCTTATTGTGGGCCCCAAGCCCACTCAGCCCCATACCTGGGGGTATGCCAGGAGGAATCTCCCCAGGCCTGGGACCCAACACCAACCCTGTTACCCTCCCTCAATCCTATGGGCAATCTCTTCCACCCACTCTACCCTGTTACCTACCAGTCCTGACTCTGGAGAGCTGACCCTAGGGAGCTGTCCCTTCCCCAACACTGCCCCATTAAACCCTCACCTTTTGTGGAAGGTGGAACCCCCAAAATTGTATTTCCCCTTCCTCACTTGACCCTAAGGGAGCGCCACTCCCTGCCCAACCCTGCCCCTCACATGATACCAACACGTTGTGGGACACCCCTCCCCTCACCCTCCTTGTCCTGATGGACCCCTCATTCACTGTGACCCCTCTGGCTTCGGGAAAGTCCCTCATCCCGCCGACCACATTATCTCCTGCCCGACCCGGGGGACCCCTTTCCCCCGAACCCTTCACCCTGCCAACAACGAGGGAGCCCCCCCGCTCTCCATGGGAGGCCAGGATGAGACTCCTTGGAGCAGAGTTAGGATGGGTCTGTAGGTTGGAGAACCAGCCAACGACCGCCAGAGGGCGCCCACTATCGCTATCTGGGCGCAGCTTGAAAACACTGGTGAGGGGGCGCAGAAGTGAATGAATCCAGACCGAGCCCCCCGCTCCCGATTCTGCTCCCAGACCCCACAGTCACTTCCCGCGGAGGCCAGGATGAGACTCCTTGGAGCAGAGTTAGGATGGGTCTGTAGGTTGGAGAACCAGCCAACGACCGCCAGAGGGCGCCCACTATCGCTATCTGGGCGCAGCTTGAAAACACTGGTGAGGGGGCGCAGAAGTGAATGAATCCAGACCGAGCCCCCCGCTCCCGATTCTGCTCCCAGACCCCACAGTCACTTCCCGCCTCAGGGGAGACCCCACGTATGACGCAAATCCTGACCCCCAAACTCCCTCAGCCCTGAGGGTCTACTTGTCCCCCCTCCGG